TCTTTTCCCTTCATTCCTTCTACCAGCTGCTGAAGCTGGTGTGCTCTGTTGAATTCTCCTGTAACCAACTGCAGCCCATAATTTGCAGCATCAGTGAATAACAATCTATTTTGCTTTTGATTTAAGCTGGTTAAATGCTCTCTCTCTGTGTGTGTGTTTGTTTGTTTGGGAATGAACCCCTCAGATACTGGCCTTCTGTTGTGCAGCCTCTTTCTGACATGCTGAATGGGCTGTCATGATTTAAAACTATACTGTATAGGGATTTGGAGAACCTGAGTGGGAAACGGCTTACATGGGTATACTAGTTGGAAGTGTTGAAAGATTGTCCAATACAAAAGGCAACTGAAGGATGGGATTTATTATATAAATGGCTTGAGTCAGTAGAGAGAGCTTGATAAAAATAGAATTAACCTCAATTTACTGACTTGGAAGGATGGAAGGCTGAGTGACCCTTGAGTCGGCTACCTGGGATTGAACCCCAGTTCCTGAGCAGAGTTTTGGCTGCTGCACTGCAGTTTAACCATTGCACCACAAAATGTGTTTTCTCCAATAACAGAAGGAAGAAGTTCATGAACTTTCTAACTCTTGTCTTATATGAGCCTGTTTCTTCTCTGTCTTTGCAAATACAGTGGTGTCCCACTTGATGACGATAATCCGTTCCTTGTCAAGCAAAAAAAAAAAAACCCATTGGAATGCACTGAAAACCAGTTAATGCGTTCCAATGGGGAAATACCTCATAGTCCAGTAAACATCGCCATAGAGAATCGCTGTCTTCCAAAGCAGGGGTCCGGAAAACAGCCATTTTGCGAAGGGAGGGAAGCCATTTTGTGAAGGGATACCATTTTGCGGAGCCGGAAAAAACATTGTTTTGCGAACAAACTGTTCGCGAAGCAGGCACCTAATCAACGTAAAGCGGATTTCCCCCATAGGAACCATTGTTTTGCCATCGCAATAGCGATCGCAAAAAAGTCATTGTTAAGTGATTTCATCGTCAAGTGGGGTCGTCATCAAGCGGGGCACCACTGTATTAAATAATTTTTTAAAATTACATTGACAATGGATTCAGATAAAATCCATTGTACCTACTCACATCTCAAGAGATGGGCTATATATGGAAGACAGTATGTTCTATGCTTGCCCTGGCATGTAGCGCAGTGACGTTATATCGCTTTTCCTATAGGGAGTTATGCTGGTGGTACAACAACCCTCCCGTCCAGTTCCAGAGTTGTTCCCTATTTCATCTGTGTGTCAGGCCCTTGTAAGGAAATTAAGAGTGCAAGGCAAGGAGTTGACCATGGGTGAACAACACCAGAAATGGAGCCAGACTTTACTCCCCCGCTGCTCCACCATGCCTGTCACTGGAAGAGGCCACATATTTATGCTGACATTTGCAGGATAGAAAACATACTTTTGCAAGCTGAGGAGAATTTGTCAATGGAGGAGCTCTCCTTCCCCAGCCATTCAAAGGACTGCTAGGCAGACCCAGGAGACCCTCTCTGGCTAATTAGTGAGGATGCTGCAAAGGATATGGTCATGTTGAGATGATGGTCCTCAACATGACCATATCCTTCTCCTTTGCAGCATCCTCACTAATCCTCACCACATGCTTCAGTCTTGAGAGACTATGGTAACGTGCTCTGTATGGAGGACTTGGAACAGCATCTAGTGTGGCTGAGGAGGCCAATTCGAGAGTGTATACATGCTCAAAAAGGCAAGAGGAGAAGGGGACGACAGAGGACAAGATGGTTGGACAGTATCATCGAAGCTACCAACATGAATTTGACTAAACTCTGGGAGGCAGCGGAAGACAGGAGGGCCTGGCGTGCTCTGGTCCACGGGGTCACGAAGAGTCAGACATGACTTAACGACTAAAACAACATGACTCTGAGGGGGTTAAAGCGACCGAGCTGGCAGTCTAGAGCGGACAAAACCTCTGGGAAGGGTAGAGGGAGAGGAAAGGTTCCTTCCGGTCCTTCCTCCCGAGGAGAGCAGGGCAGCAGCTCTTCGGAGGGGTGGGGGTGGAAGGGTTTGGCGGGGTTGCACAGGCGCTGCACAGGCGAGAGTGCAGGTCTGTTCAAGGGAAGAGAGGAGCCTCCCAAGTGGCTTTTAATGTGAGACAAAGCAAATTCAATCGAAATCAAGTCAGCCTTCCTTCCAGATCTTCGTGGTCACGCAGAAGACTGGGGGACGGGGTCTGTTTTTTTGGGTGGGGAGACTGGGAGTTTACCAGCCCAGCACCACAACAGAGAGGAAGTCTTGGGTTCAGTGACTAAAAGCCAGTAGTAAATCCCAAGTAGAGTAGACCCATTGAACAAGTAGAACTCACAAGATTTAGTGGATTTACTAAATCCCCACTGAGTCAAAAGACCAATTCTAGTTGCAATTTAATACTGTTCTTCATCTACAGTTTTACAAGCAGAAGACCTCAAGATCAATCCTGGGCATTTCCTGTTGAAAAAGAAAACATGTTGACATGAAATATATCTAAAGTAATAAAACCGCCCGGCAACTTTCAGAAATGTAATTAGAAGAGAATTTAAATAACTTTCTAAAAAATCAGCCATAGTGGAAGCAAAATGATTGAAGGTTTCTTTGTGTTACAGACAAAATATAATTTAATTCTTGAAAAAGAAGGAGAAGGGGAGGAAATAAATGTGGTTTGTTAATGGAAGCACTTCCAAGGTCAGTTTCTTTTCACACTGACTATATGTATTAACGGTTTCACCTGCCTTCTGACTTCAACAATTTCATCCCCAGCTGTGTAGGTGTGCCCATGTTATGGGACTCCCAATGCATTCTCTTTTTAAAAAGTTTTTATGCATTTTCAGTAACGATAAGGGTTGGGGTGTGGGTAGAAGGGAATAAGGAAGGAGTGAATAAGGGTAGGGGAAAGAGTAAAATTTCAGAGAAAAAGAGTATTCTTACATCTTACTTAGTTATGTTAAAAAGGGAAATCAAATAAATAAACGATCTAACAATTTTACCAGACTATCTATCTTCACAACTCTCTCTATTCCTTTGGACCTTCTCATATTTCTTTTATCTATATTTTCCATTCCCTATTTTGGATCCAGTTATAAAACCTTCCCATTTTCAAAGTCCTTTTTGAGATGATCTTTTCTATCAGTTCCTACAGAGACCCTACCTGTTCATTCTTCGGATATTTTCCATATACAGTACGTACGGTAGTAATCTCGCTGCCGTAATTACATGCATTAATCAAATATCTCATTTCTTTATCTACAATTTCAGTCATAACATTCAATAAAAGCAATTCTGGTTTAAATTGTATCACATAAGAGTGGTCGAAATGACCAGATAGGCCGGGTGTATATAGGAAAAGGAACATAAATGAATGAATGAATGAATGAATGAATGAATGTTTTGGTAGCATTTCACGTATTAATCTCCAGTAATGGACTCCCGGTGCCTCAAGACAAGACATTTAAACAATCAATCATTGAATCTTAAGCAATACAGTTGTTTTAATTTTGAAAGACGGAGCCGACACTTGGCAGAACTTGGAGAAGTTCCTTTCTTGAACTACCGATCCCCAAATGACCCAGTTCCTGATAGCTTGGGGGGGGGGGATCGGAGGACCCATAACTCGGACAATTCCTTTTAGGTCTGGATGGATACTTACCTCCCTAGCCTGATGTGGTTGAGCCAAAGCCATGACTCTGAAGGGGTTAAAGCGACCGAGCAGGCAGCCTAGAGCGGCCGAACCCACCCACCGCCCCTCCGGCAAGGGTAGAGGGCGGAGGAAAGGTTCTTTCCGGTCCTTCCTCCCGAGGGGGGCGGGGCGGCATCCCTCGCCACCACTAGGTGTGCTGGCTGCGGTTTCTGAGAGTTGCAGTCCAAGAACATCTGGGTAACCCAAGGTTGGGAGCCACTGCTCCAGAGTAAGCAGAATCTCTTAGTGTTCCTGTGAAGCCAACATATGATAATTCTTTACCTTTTTCCAGCATGATTGAATATGTTCTAAATATATTTATAATTATTTACTTATTTAGCCATTATTTTATTGATAATCCAGCCTTTTTCATAGAGCTGTGGCTCAAAGTAAGGCATGATGGCATGCTTTTAAAAAAAATACCAATGCTAATTATGTTTAAAGGCTTTGCCATTTGTCCCTGGGTTGTGGTTTTTTTTAATGCTAACGTGGGTTTTAATAATGTTCTAACCCAATATTACAAATGGTTAGAATGATGATAACTACACGGTTTGACTTTATTATATTTAATGGATTCTATTAGTTATACACTATTTCAAATGCAATTGAGTTGCATTACAGTAGATTGAATACCCATAACTGACACCAGTTTCTTGGTTACAGAGATTGCCGGGGGGGGGGGCTGTGTCTCCTTTTGATTTGGTGATCTGTGTTTGCAGTTTGCACACCAGGAATAGACCCCTTGTGAATAATAGGGTTTTATTGTTGTGCAAGGGGGAGCTGGCTGGCTTCCCCTTGTATTTCTGTGTTTTCCTCCCACCGGCTACCAGCTTTAACAGAATGGCTCTTGGCTTAAATCAGTTAAATTGGACGTCAGATAAACTTTCCGGCCAACTCCATTTTTGGAACCCTCGCTCCCTTTTCGTCATCTCTGCCCTCTTGCTGTTCGGGAGACTGTTTTCCCCCAAACTCTGATAAGGGCCCTGAGATGAGAATCGCTTGTTGCTGTTACACCAGCGCCACTTCTGAGCCATCAGACGCACGCCGTTCCCTCCAATGGATCAATAAGCCAGCCTCAATGCGGGGCTCTGAAGACATAGGCTGGCCGTGGAGGGCAGGGTGACATCCCTGTGGCGTGGGGTAAGGAGTGCGTGAGAGGTAGGGTCCCCTCCGGATGATGTCACGAACTTCCTCTGAGGCTCCTTTGTGTTTGTAAACAGAGGACCGGCCTGGCCAGCAAAAGCAGCAGAAGGCTGCAAACCTTCCTGGTTTGTCTCCAGCGAAGCCCTG